GTTTCACTCTTGTTACCCAGGCTGGAGTGCAGTGGCGCGATCTCGGCCCACTGCAACCTCCGCCTCCTGGGTTCAGGCAATTCTCCTGCCTCAACCTCCTGAGTAGCTGGGATTACAGGCACGCGCCACCATGCCCAGCTAATTTTTTGTATTTTTAGTAGAGACGGGGTTTCACCATGGTGACCAGGATGGTCTCGATCTCTTGACCTCTTGATCCACCCACCTCGGCCTCCCAAAGTGCTGGGATTACAGGCTTGAGCCACCGCGCCCAGCCCCCCGTGCTTTTATTCATTCTAAACTGTTTGCTCCTGCAGGACTACTGTTGTAGGAAGCCAAATTTCCATCAATTTTCTGAATGTGAGTATGGAAAGAAGCCATTTCTCCTACCTTTGTTTGACTGGACCAAAGTACCTGTAAAGGCAGAAGAGAGATAGAGGATTAGCTGGCGTGGAGTTGTTCGGATGCCCTGAAGTATTTTCATGGTTATTTGAGGCCAAGATAAAGAGAGATCCAAATCTGACTGAGTTACCAAATTGAATCAAGGTGATAATAAAGAATTTGTCTCATCTTTGTCCTGGTGTCCTGGGATGGAGTTTCTAACCTCCTGGAATTTCGTGAGTGTTAGAAGTGACTTTGTTATCCGTGGTGGATCATACCTGAGTTTATGCTATGGTGATGACTCAGGATGGTGCTGGTTAAGACCAACAATATGGTAAGAGTATTGCAGCTTTGAAACTAGTGATATCAGCCCCAGGAAGGAAACCTAGAGATTGAGATCAGTCAAGTGGCGATGATTCAATCAATCACGCCTATGTAAAGATACATCAATAAAAACTTGATGGAGCTTCCTGGCTGGTGAACACATGGATGTGCTGGCAGAGTGTGGGAGAGTGCTGGGGGAGATGTGTTCTAATTCCAGGGGGAGAGGATATGGAGGCTCTGTGTTTGGGACCCTCCTAGACCTTGCCCTTTTCATTTAGCTGGTCCTGATTTTATTCTCTTTAATAAAACTGAAATAGGAAGTATAGCACTTTCCTAGGTTCTGTGAGTTATTCTAGCAAATTATCAATGAGGCAGGTCATGGGAATCCTTAGGATTTGTAGGTAGTTTGTCAGAAGTGTGAGTGGTCTGGGGTCCCCTGAACTTGTAGCTGGGATTTAAAGTGAGAGCAATCTTGTTGGGAACCATGCTCTTAACCTGTATGGCCTGACAACTAATTTCGGGGGTTAGTATCAGAATTATGTTGTAGTATATTGCCTATCTAGTCCAGAACACTCTGCTTCTTGAGCAGCCAATGCCCTGGCAAGGAGCAGGTGTGCACTATACAAAGCCTTTAGGCTGAGCTCCTTATAAAGTCGTCAGCCTTGGTGATCGTTTTCTGGTAAAAACCCTGGATGTCCCAGGGAAGTTAGCTATTCAGTTAGTCCTCAAATCTGTCTCAAAAACTCAGAGTGACTGGGTGTGGTTGCTCACGCCTGTAATCCCAGCAGTTTGGGAGGCTGAGGTGGACAGATTGCTTGAGCCCAGGAGTTAGAGACCAGCCTGGGCAACACGGAGAAACCTTGTCTCTACAAAAAAATACAAACGTATTAGCTGGACATGGTGGTATGCACCAGTACTCAGGAGGCTGAAGTGGGAGGAATGGTTGAGCCTGGGAGGTGGAGGTTTCAGTGAGCCGAGATTGCACCACTGCATCCTAGCCTAGGTGTCAGAGCAAGACTCTGTCTCAAAAAAACAAAAATAAACAAAAAAACCCCACCTTAGGGTAGTAGAGTTGCATGGCAGACATACTACAGAGATCTGGCACTTCAATTCAATTGTATTTGATCCAAACATTTAATGAGCACTATTATGACCTAAAATAATTCAATATTATAAAAGAAAAGACTGCTGATATGAAAAATCAGCTGGTGCTTCCAAAGTTTACGATGAAGTGAAAAAATTAAAATACATATTCAATTAATTTAATAGAACATATACATTATCTTTTAGTGCTTATATGAATGCATATGAAAGAGGGTGGAAACTATTAATTTTGCCCAAAGGTGGGGATCAGGGAAAGCTTAACAGAGGAAGTGACATTTATCTGGGCCTTGAAAAGTAAGCAGGAAGTATACCAGACAGATAAGGCATTCTGAATAGAAGGAATAGCTGAATAAGATACAGCTTTCAAAAAGGACAAGAGAGGTGGTATGGCTAGAGTCAGAGTGTGTGTGACAGGCAGAGTCAGTCATGAGTCAAAGTATAATGGAAATAGAATAAGCGAACTCTCTCAGAACCTCAGGCAGGGCTGGACTATTTTTGAACAGTATCCAGTGCAGTGCCTGGACAAGGTAGGAACTTTATTTGTTGAATGAATGTGCAAATGAATAAATGAGAAAATAGGAGAAAACGCAAGGCAACAGATAAGAGGTTTCTATCTAGCTCTTCTCCTGACCACCTTGTCAGAAGACAGAGGGAGGACAGAGACCCTTCATTCTAAATTGGATCTGGATTGCACTGATCGTTGACATCTTTTTTTTTTTTTTTGAGACATCTTTTTTTTTCTTGCTTTGTCACTCAGGTTGAAAGGCAGTGGTGTGATCACGGTTCACTGCAGCCTTGAACTCCTTGGTTCAAGCAATCCTCCCACTTCAGCATCCCGAGTAGCTGGCATAAGTGCATGCCATCATGCCTGGCTAACTTTTGTAGTTTTTGTAGACACGGCTGGTCTTGAACTCCTGGACTCAAATGATCCTCCCTTCTTGGCCTCCCAAAGTGTTGGGATTATAGCCATGAGCCACTGCACCTGGCCTACTGACATCTTTTAATGTTGCATATCTGAGTGAGGTTTCCTTTTAGGACTTAAGAGGTCATGTAGGCACATTTCTAGATTGGTTGGTGTGAGAACTCTCAGACAGAGGAGGATTTGTTCAAGCACACATAGTACATTGGTGTCCAAGCTGGACCCAGAGGTCAGGTTTTCTACTGCTCAACTCAATGCTGTTTCCATACTATCCAGCCACCTCATCCAGGCTTCAGAGCTGCTCCTTTTTTAGCTGACTTTTCCTCCCATTTCTCTCAGAAATAATTCTGTTCTAAACTCTCATTGTCCTCTTCAAGTCTCCCACCCGGCCATTACCCAGCTTTTGCCTCCCACCTGGTTTTTTTTAGAAGATGGTAGCTGTTATGGTCCTTTCTCTTTAGCTTCCATTCCCTTTATAAACCTATCTGGCCAGCACTGTTTGCACTTCCTTTTTCCTGGTCTTAGAGGTCTTACCTTCCCCTCTGTGCTCTTGACCCCACTCTTGACTCTATCCTTCCAACATCAACTCCAGGAAATTGCTCTACTCATCATCTTCTCTGTTAGCTTAGAAATGTTATCAAGTTTCTCTCACCTCAAAAACATTTATTCTTAGACTTGACTTCCTCCTCTATCAGCCATGCAGTCTCTTCTCCCTGCTCATCCAAATTTCTTTAAAGAATCGTCTACACTTGCTGACCTCATCACCTGACCGTCACTGTCTACCAGTTTTCACTTGGCTTCCACTCACAATATCCCACTGAAACTGTGCTAATTCACCCGTGACGGGTATTCTGCCACATCCCACGGATTTAAAGTTTTAAATATATTCTTATGTTAGTGGGCTCTCTTTAACATTTTATACTCTTGGTAATTCCTTCTAGAAGCTCTCTACTCTCTTGGTTTCCAAGGTATTGCACACATCTGATTATTTCAGCTCTTTGATTTTCCTTTTATCTCTTTCCTGAAATTTACTTTTTCCTTTAACTGCCCCTTAAAATTGGTGCCCTCACTGTTCCATCTTCAGCCTCCTCTTCCTCACATACTACTGATGTGACTTCAGCAAATTCCATGGTTTTAACGTCCCCTAGTATGTCCAGATTCCAGGCATCAACCCAGTTCATCCACTTCCTACTGGATCTTCCCAATGGAATATTCGTGCAGGCATGCATACTGTACCTTACAGTCAGTCTGGCACCATGAAAACTAATCTCTCCAAGGAGACTATAATTTCCGTAGTGCATAAGCGTTTTATTCATTTTTATTTCCTCATGGCCTATCACATATTAGGATCTTACCCATCTTTGTTGACCAATTGACCAACTGCCCAACTGAGTGAATGGTCATTTCATAGGTTGACTGCTAACCCCCAGCTCTGAACAAGGGAACATATACTTTTTCCTTTTAGTTTCCTGGCCTATGGCTTTTTGAGCTATGTTCAAACCTAAGATGGCGGTAACAGGGTCCTCTCTTTAGCCAGTTAAGTACTGTGTTTGGATTTTTCAGAGACAAGGATTTCTTCTCCACCATGGGACACTGTTTCTCTCTAGCAGAGAACAGTTAAGAGGCTCCATTTTTGGCTTTCTTTGAACACTAAGGTGACAGCAGAAGTAGCTTTAAGTTTAGGGATCCCAATATTCCTGTCTCCCTAGTCATGGCCTCTTCCCTTGAGCCCTTCCCCAGGCTGCCAGACCCCTAGTAGGCCCTTACCTTGAAGAAGAGTGACAGCCAGGATGAGGCCAGCCAGGCCCTTCCCCTGTTCCATGTCAGTCTCTGTCCTCTGGCAAAAGCGCGGAGCAGCCCTTAGCAGCCAGTCAGTCTGTGCAGCAGCTAGACTGGCCCCACCCATCTCCGTTCAGGCTGGGGCCCTTGAGAGAAGGCAAGCACCCAGAGCCTCCACCCTCTGCTGCAAGCGTGGGCAGCAGGGGCCTCAGCAGGGGCCTCAGCAGGGCTGCAGGTGCAGATGCCTTTTGTTTTTCTGTTAAGGAGTAGAGGGTGGAGGTGGTGAGGAAGGAGAGGGAGAGAGTGCTGGATTCCCACTCAGAGCTCATCTTGCACAGGGACCCACAGTGGATGCTGGGTGGGAGATGGTCCTGGGACCTTTTCTTCAGGAGAGAGAGAAATAACCCTGTCATTAGTTGTTAGGATTGTAGCCAGTTGTTACTTGTTGCTAGTTGTTGTTGCTATAGGTAATGAATTTAGGAGGGGTTCTCGGCTGCTTGGGGCTGGACCTCTGAATGGAAAGCCGCCTCGGTCCAGGCCTTCATTCAGGATTTTTTTTCACCGTTTATTTTATCTTATTTTATTTTATGATGGAGTCTCCCTCTGTCGCCCAGACTGCAGTGCAGTGGTGTGATCTTGGCTCACTGCAACCTCTGCCTCCCAGGTTCAAGCGATTCTCCTCCCTCAGCCTCCTGAGTAGCTGGGGCTACAGGCACATGCCAGCACGCCCAGCTAATTTTTGTATTTTTAGTAGAGACTGGGTTTTACCATGTTGGCCAGGCTGGTCTCCAACTCCTGACCTCATGATCCACCTGGCTCAGCTTCCCAAAGTGCCAGAATTAGAGGCGTGAGCCATGGCGCCCACTTCACTGTTCTTTTGAGGTCATGAAAGAGGTGCCTGGAAGGAAATAGGTGGAACGATTCCAAGAAGACGGGAACCACATTTTCAGGGGTCAGAGCTGGGACTGAGTATCCAGGATCTCAGGGCCCTGTCTCCCTCAGCCAGTCAGTGAGTGAGCCAACAAAAACGTGCAGAGTTCCTGATATGTGCCAGGCACAAGATACAGCAGTGAGCAAGACAGGCATGGCTCTGTCCTCAGGTAAATGACAGTCTAACTGCAGCAGTGTGAAGCATTTCAGATCCTTGTTGGCCACTGGGGGAGAAGGTCCATTTGTCTCCCCGGGAGGCTCAATATTGCCTGTGAGTCAATTATATTATTATTAATAACTAGCCCTTATTGAGCACATACGATGTGTAAGGCACCAAGCAAACATCCTTGTTTGAATCTTTACATGGTACTAACGAAATAAGGCTCTGAAAAATTTCATAGCTGGCCCAGGCCCCACAGGTAGGCAGTATTGGACCCAGGATTCAAATCTCTGGCTGAGGTCTCTAAGGCCCAGCCTCTCACTGGCAAGAAGCTGCTAGATCTCGTGTCCCCAGTTGCCCAGTGAAGGGTCCTGAGAAAGACCAGCCTCCATGAGAAACCTAGCTGCTATGGCTTGCGCTATGGGGCTGATGGCTTCTCTCAGGGAGCTTTGGGATGTAGCAGTTTTTAGGTGGTGAGTAAATGTAGTTGCATTGTGAGTAGGGACTCTAAAGTTCCGGCTGCCTTTTCCATATTCTCTGCCAGCTCCCTGCTGAGAGATACAGCAATTTACACCTGCTTCCTTCCTAACCTACTCCTAGCCCACCCCCACCCTGACAGTCTCCCGTCATCAACGGCAGAAAGCAGAGAAGCAGACATCTTCTAGTTCCTCCCCCACTCTACTTTTTCCGGTACCTAGAGTCAGTTGGGGGAGGGCAGCTCTCACCCAGGCTGTTAGTTCAGTGACCTGGCTTTATCTGCTGGATGAGTTCCGCTGGGAGATGGAACGTAGCATGTTTCTGTCTGGTCTGGTACTGGTTACCCTTCTCCCCCAAGGTAAGGCTACTCCAGGTGGGTGGGGGAAGGGACCTGAGAGGGACATTACCGCTGGGAGTGAGGCCCACTTGAAAGTGCTTCTTGCTGGGCATGGTGGCTCATGTCAGTAATTCCAGAGCTTTGGGAGGCTGAGGTGGGAGGATCCCTTGAGGTCAGGAGTTTGAGACCAGTCTGAGCAACGTGGTGAGACTCTATTTTTACAAAAAACAAAAAAATTGGCCATTCATGGTGGTTACAGCTGTAGTCCCAGCAACCTGAGAGGCTGAAGCAGGAGAGTCACTTGAGCCCAGGATTTCAAGGTTTTAGTGAGCTGTTATCATGCCACTACCCTCCGACCTGGGCAACCCCATGAGACTTCATCTCTCTCTCTCTCTCTCTCTCTCTCTCTCTCTCTCTCTCACACACACACACACACACACACACACACACACACACGTGCTTCTCAGTGCCAGCTTCAATTCACCAGGCACCCCAGGGTGTCAGGATGGCAGGGCTGGGATGTAGCATAGAGTCTGGGAAACAGGCTCTTGACTTTGACCGACTCCAGCCACGGGTGCATTTAGGCCTAGAATGTCTCTCAGAAGGCCTTAGGCCAGAGATCTGTAGGAAATAGCTCAGTATGTATGTACCTGAACCTGGGGCTGGTCTTGGGAGCACAGCTTCTTGCACTATTCCTTTTAGGGCTGATGGCCTCTGTAATCGGGACTCTTGTTCATTTGGCCATAATTATGTCACCCCTGGAGCTATGTCCTAGCACTAATGGGAATGCTTTGGGAGAAGTTAACTTTAGATTGAGCAGAAGGGAGGGAAGATTCGAGGGGTTATCACATAGGAGGATTTCAACTCATCTCAGTTTGCCAATTTCACTTTTAAAATGGAAATTCCCATGTCCCAGGAACCCCTAAGCAAACTGGGTCCAATGGTCACCGAATAGTCGGCTGCACTAGGACACTCATGATTTCCGCTGGAGACAGATCCCTGAAGAGGATGCCACTGTAGGATGTGAAGCATTTGATGTGCATGTGTCTCTCTGAGTGGACATGCATCTACTTCCAACCTGCTTCAGAAGTGCGAGCAGCAGCTATTTTAGGGTTTTCTAGAAGAAGCTCTTGTATCCAAATTCGTGACCCAGTGTGAAGCCAGATTGAATGAATGTAGTCTCCACCTTTCCCTGTGTTTGGAGGTATAGACTATAATGCTTCTGTGGGCTGTGGAGATGTGCTCAGGCTGTCAAAGCAACTCACTGCATCTGGAATGGTGCTGGACTCACCTCCAGCCCTTAAACTCTCCCCCAAGACTTGACTTGTGAGGAGCTCCAGGAACGGATTGAATAAAAAATTTTTTCTGTTCTTCTCCTTCTAACCAAGGATGGAAAATCTGTACATGGGATTTGTCCTGGTCCCCTTCTGGATCACTGGGCTGGTAATTCGGGGGCCGGTAAACCAGCTGGTCTCCACCCACAGCCATCCCTGGCCCTGGGAGAGGCTTCAGTATTGAGAGCCCCGCTTTCTTTGTTATCACTGGAGCAGGGGCAATGAGGAAGGATGAGGACAAGGAGTTGAAGTGAGAGTGTTGTAGATGGCTGGGAAGTAGAATTAGATGTTTCCTTGAAGAAAAAATGCAGACATTTCCAACCGAGGAATGTTCTTCTGTCTTTCCATATCTTTCTGGTGTTTCAGTGGTCCATGATCCTCGTACTCCTCATTGGCGTTCTGGACTCATTTCCAGGAAGGTGCTTGGATCAACCGTGCTCTGAGGGGTCTTCTTTTGCCCTAAGTCCCCCAAGACCTGTCCTCTGCTTGAACAGCATCCTCCTGTCCCCCTTGGCCCCTGCAGTTGGCAGGGAACTTTCTGAAGGTTTCTTCTTGTTTGTGACTTCTGTCTCTCTCAATAGAAATCATAGACTCTCCTGGACGACGAAAGTGGTCCTTTTTAAGTATGAGCTTCTGCAGAAGAAAGGGCTTGGTGCAGACCAAAGAGCTGTCTCCAATTGTGGTATTTCTTCCCCTTTAGTAAGCCCCTTCAAGATACCTGTAGAGGAACTTGAGGACCGAGTGTTTGTGAATTGCAATACCAGCATCACATGGGTAGAGGGAACAGTGGGAACACCGCTCGCGAACAATACAAGCCTGGACCTGGGAAAAGGCATCCTGGACCCACGAGGAATGTATCAGTGTAATGGGACAGAAAAATATGCTGGCAAAGTATCTACCGTGCAAGTTTATTATCGAAGTATGTGCTTCCTGGACCTTTTGGGTTGGAATGGATGGGGCTTCTGGACTTTCAGGTTAGAGGGGGCTGTGGTGAACCCATCTGTTCTCTAAACAAACTGAGGTCACTATTGCAGTGGTACAAGCTAGATTTGGGCACCTTTGAAGTGGAAGAGAGCGCTTAACTCAGCAAGACAGAGCAGTAAGGGTCACGTTACAGCAGCCTTGGTTGGCTGAAAGGTTTGGCCCACCACCTTGTGCAAGGTCCCACAAAGCTGAGATGACTTCTTGGCTCTCCTCAGGGATTCCTCAGGATGAAGGGTGGAGGAAGATGTGGCAACGCTATCACCAGGCCCTATTCCCAGGGTCTTATTGAAGTTTGGGTTTTGGCATGAGAGATCTCAGGGTTGCCTTAGGAGGCCGAGATGTTTCCCTGATCTTAAAGGCTCTCAACCTCTCCTCTCTCCTCCCTTCCCCCGCAGTGTGCCAGAACTGTGTGGAGCTGTATCCAGCCACCCTGGCTGGCATCATTGTCACTGATGTCATTGCCACTCTACTTCTCGCTTTGGGAGTCTACTGCTTTGCTGGACATGAGACTGGAAGACTCTCTGGGGGTTAGTGGAAGAACAGCGTGTGTGTGTGTGTGTGTGTGTGTGTTTGTGTGTGTGTGTGTGTGTGTGTGTGTGTGTGTATACCAGTGAGCTTATGCACCAGCTAAGGAATGGGGCTGATGGTAGGTTTACTCTCACCTGGGAGTTACTCTTGCAGTCTCCTAAAGACTCCTAGAACCTTGACTTGTTGAAAGAACTTGTGAGTTCATATCACTCATGTAGACTTCTGAGGGTGTGGGTGAGTGGGTCTCGCTGTCCCATCCTGCTAGGCCGTTGATATCTCTCTCTGGTTCTTCTAGCGGCTGACACACAAGCTCTGCTGAGGAATGACCAGGTCTATCAGGTGAGCCCTGAGGGGAAGGAGGGGGTGGTGAGTAGGGACAGAGAGGCTGACACTGAGTGCTATTTGCACATGGAAGGGTCCTATTGGGGAGTTCATCTCTGGGTGTGGCTGGAGAGGTCAGGCAGGAGCTCTCATCGTCGGAGCCTGCTGGGGCCCTTCCTAGAAGAGTGCTGACCCTGCCTCCTGACTGTTCCCTCTTCTCTCTTAGCCCCTCCGTGATCGAGATGATGCTCAGTACAGCCGCCTGGGAGGAAACTGGCCTCGGAACAAGTGAACCTGAGACTGGTGGCTTCTAGAAGCATCTGTTATCAACTATATCTTTCCTTCTTAGTTCAGCCAATAAATATAACCTCTTTTACTTGGCAGGTGCCTGGACTTCTTAAGGCTCCTGGGCAAGGCATGGGGATTGTCCTGACTTGGCCAGGATCCTTCCCTCCTGCCCCCCGTTTCCTTCCTTCATCTCCTTCCTTCCTCTGCCCCACACAGACAGTGCGTTGGGCAGTCTCCCACCACATCCTTGGCTGTCTGGGGTTTTTAGCCCACAGGGTTCCCTGCGTGAAGGGTCTGCTCCACCATGTTCCCCAGCTACTTGTTGACTCCAGTCCCTATGATAACCTTTTTAGGGTTTTGGCTGCCTCATCCAGCTGAGGGTAGGCTGCTGTGTTCAGGAGCCCAGCCACATAGAAGTTTCCATGACGTCATGAACAGGGGTGGCAGAGACAACAAGGGGCCCTGGGACTAGTTTCTCACCAAGACTCAGAGGGTGTGTGTGTGACAAAGTCCCACTGCTGTTAAAGGGATGGCCTCAACTCTACAGCCCTGCTGAGCAGGGGCCACTAGCTGTTAGTCTCAACCTAAGTCTCTTTCATACCCCCTTCCCCTATGTTAAAGGCACCATTTTAGCTTCCTTGTGCCAGGATCTGTCCCTGACTTGTTTCTGCCTTCTGCATGATAAACTGGGATTAGAAACTCTTCACCAATTAAAGCACATTACCCTGCTCCGTCTACTTGGAAAGCAGAAGTTTGAGACAGGTTTTTTTTTATGGAGTCTCACTGTGTCGCCCAGGCTGGAGTGCTATGGCATGATCTTGGCTCACTGCAACCTCTGTTTCCTGGGTTCAAGTGATTCTCCTGCCTCAGCCTCCCAAATATCTGGGATTACAGTCGTGTGCCACCATGTTCAGCTAATTTTTGTATTTTTGGTAGAGACAGGGTTTCATCATATTGGCCAGGCTGATCTTGAACTCTTGAACTCAAATGATTCGCACACCTCAGCCTCTGAAAGTGCTGGGATTACAGGCATGAGCCACTGTGCCTGGACTAAAACTTTTAAAGAACGTTGTTTTGGCTACTCTAAGTCCTTTGCACTTCCATTTGAATTGGCTCCTCAGTTACCACAAAAATGCCTGCTGGGACTTTGATCAAGATCGTATTGCATTTATAGATCAATTTCGGGAGAATTAACATCTTAACAATATTGAGTCTTTCATATATGAACATATATTTTGCCAGATTTATTCCTAAATAGTTTATATTTTTGATGCTATTGTAAGTGCTTTGTTTTTTTGTCTTTTTAGAGGCAGGGTCTTTCTCTGTCACTCAGGCTGCAATGCAGTGGTATGATCATAGCTCATTGCAGCCTCGAACTTCTGGGCTTAAGCAATCCTCCCACCTCAGCTTCTCAAGTAGCTCTGGCACTACACATGGGTGCCACTATGCCTGAATATTTTTATTTTTGTGTAGACATGGGAGCTCACTATGTTGCCTAGGCTGGCCTCGAACTCCTGTACTCAGTGATCCTCCTACCTTGACCTCCCAAAGTACTGGGATAACAGTTGTGAGCCACCATGCCAGGATATATATGGTATTAAAATTTTTTAAATTTCCAATGGTTTATTGCTAGTATATATAAATACAGTTAATTTTTGTATATTAATCTTGTACCCTGGAAAATTGTTAAACTCACTTATTAATTCTAGTAACTTTTTTTGTAAGCGCATTGAGTATTCTACATAGATGATCATGTTGTCTGTAAATGAAAACAGTTTGTTTCCTTTCCTATCTGGGTGCTTTTTTTTTTTTTTCCGTTTCTTGGCTTATTATACTGGCTAGAACCTCCAGTACAATGTCGAATAGAAGTAGAGACAGGACATCATTGCCTTGTTTATGATCTTAGAAGGAAAGCCTTGTCTTTCATCTTTAAGTATTATGTTAACTGTGGGTTTTCCTTAGATGTCCTTTAACAGGTTGAGGAAGTTCTTTTCTTTCTAGTTTGCTGAGAATTTTTATCAAAAATAGATGTCGAGTATTGTCAAGTGCTTACCCTGCATCCTTTGAGATGATAATGTGGTTTTACTTTGTTAGTCTGTTAATATGGTAAATTACATTGATGGCACGATATATTAAACCAACTTTGCATTCCTGAAGAAAACTCTAGTCATTTTGTATTATTCTTTTGATATTCTATTAGATTAAATTTATTAAAATTTTGTTAAGAGTTTTTGCCTCTATGTCATAAGAGGATTTGTCTATAGTTTTCTTTTAATCACTTTGTTTTTGGTATCAGTATATTAGGATTCTCCAGAGAGACAGAACCAATGGGATGTGTGTGTGTGTATCTCACTTTGCTATTGTGAATAATAGTATAATAGTAATCTTTTTTTTTTTTTTTTGGGACGGAGTTTCGCTCTTGTTACCCAGGCTGGAGTGCAATGGCGTGACCTCGGCTCACCGCAACCTCCGTCTCCTGGGTTCAGGCAATTCTCCTGCCTCAGCCTCCTGAGTAGCTGGGATTACAGGCACGCGCCACCATGCCCAGCTAATTTTTTGCATTTTTAGTAGAGACGGGGTTTCACCGTGCTGACCAGGATGGTCTCGATCTCTTGACCTCGTGATCCACCCGCCTCGGCCTCCCAAAGTGCTGGGATTACAGGCTTGAGCCACCGCGCCAGGCCAATAGTAATCTTTGTTATTTCTATTGTACTATTCTTGTGAATAGTAATCTTATTACTTCTTTGTCTACTTTAATAAATTACACACACACACACACACACATACACACACACACACACACACATATATGTATATATATCCCATTGGTTTAGTTTGTCTGTTTCTCTGAAGCCATGGGTTCTGCATTTGTGGATTTAACCAACTGAGGATCAAAAATGCTTTTTAAAAAAATGATGACTGCCCCTGTACCGAACATACACAGAACTTTTCTTGTCGTTATCCCCTAAACAATACAGTACAAGGCTGGGCGTGGTGGCTCAAGCCTGTAATCCCAGCACTTTGGGAGGCCGAGGCGGGTGGATCACAAGGTCAAGAGATCGAGACCATCCTGGTCAACATGGTGAAACCGCGTCTCTACTAAAAATACAAAAAATTAGCTGGGTATTGTGGCGTGTGCCTGTAATCCCAGCTACTCAGGAGGCTGAGGCAGGAGAATTGCCTGAACCCAGGAGACGGAGGTTGCGGTGAGCCGAGATTGCGCCATTGCACTCCAGCCTGGGTAACAAGAGCGAAACTCCATCTCAAAAAAAAAAAAAATACAGTACAATAACTATTTATATAGCATTTATGTTATATTAGGTATTACAAGTAATCTTGAGATGATTTAAAGTACATAGGAGCATGTGTGCAGGTTATATGCAAATATTACATCATTTTATATAAGGGACTTGAGCATCCATGAATTTTGGTAGCCATGGGGAGATCCTGGAGCTAATCCTCCACCAAGGGCTAGAACAACTGTGTACCCTATTGTTTCTGTTTCTCTAGAGAAATTGGGTCATGAGGCTGACATGTCTAAAATTTGCAAGAGTATTGGAAAGTTGGAGATCCAGGGAGCTGCTGTTGCAACTGTCCATAGATGATCTAGAGGCAGATTTTCCTCTTCCTCAGAGGGCCTCACTCTGTTTTCTCTTAAAGCTTTCAAGTGATTGAATGAGGTCTTCCCACATTATGGAGGGTAATTTACCTTATTCAAAGTCTACTAATTTAAATGTTTATCTCATCAATAAAAATACTTTCACAATAACGTCCTGATGTATTAGGCCAAATATCTGGGTATCATGGCCTAGCTAAGTTGACACATTAAAACTAACCAGGGTAATCAACACAGGGTAAATCTGGTCTCCATAGATGAGTTGGAAGAATTCCTTCTTCAATTTTCTTGAAGTGTTTGTATAGAACTGGTGTTATTTCTTCTTCAAATGTTTGATAGATTTCACTAGTGTTGCTACCTAGGTCTGAAGTTATTTTTTTTTTCTAACTACAAATTCAATTTATTTAATAGATAAAGGGCTATTCAGGCTATCTATTTCATCATTAGTGAGATTTTTCAAGGAATGTGTCCATTTTATCTGAGTTGTGAAATTTGTTGGCACGATTGTTCATAACTGCTATGGGCTGAATGTTTGTGTTCCCCTGAAATTCCTATGTTGAATTCCTAACCTTGAATGTGATGGTATTAGAAATTGGGGTGTGGCGCCTCACCTCTGTAATCCCAGCATTTTGGGAGGCTGAGGCGGGCAGATCACTTGAGGTCAGGAGTTTGAGACCATCCTGGACAACATAGCGAAACAACATCTCTACTAAAAATACAAAAATTAGCTGAATATGGTGGTGTGCACCTGTAATTCCAGCTATTCAGGAGGCTGAGGCAGGAGAATTGCTTGAACCCGGGAGGCAGGGGTTGCTGCAAGCTGAGATCGCACCACTACGCTCCAGCCTGGGTGACAGAGCGAGTCTCAAAAAGAAAAAAGAAATAATAAAAAAAGAAGTGGAGCCTTTAGGAGGTGATTAGGGCATGAGGGTGGAGCCCCCATGAATGGCATTACTGCCCTCACAAAAGAGTCCCCAGAGAACTCCCTTGCCCCTTCTATCTTGTGAGGATACAGTAAGAAGATATGAACCAGGAAATGGGTCTTTACCAGACACCAAATCTGGGAAATCCTGGATTTCCCAGCCTCCAGAACTGAGAAATAAATGTTGTTTAAGCCACCCATTCTATGATATTTTTATTATAGCAGGCTGAATGGACTAAAACAATAATATTCCTTTCTTCTTCTTTCTTCTTCTTCTTCTTTTTTTTTTTTTGAAACAGAGTCTCATTTTGTTGCCTGGACTGGAGTGCAGTGGCTTGATCTCAGCTCACTGCAACCTCCGCCTCCAGGGTTCTAGCTATTCCTCTGTCTCAGCCCCCCGAGTAGCTGGGATCACAGGCATGAGCCACTGTGCCTGGCTAATATTTGTATTTTAGTAGACGGGTTTTGCCATGTTGGCCAGGCTGGTCTCAAACCCCTGAACTCAGGTGATCCACCTGCCTCAACCCGCCAAAGTGCTGAGATTACAGGCATGAGCCACAGTTCCCGACTTATTCTTTTAATACCTGTAGAAGCTGTGATGTCACTTCTCATTCCTAATATTGGTAATTTATATATTTTCTGTTTTTTCCTGATCAATCTGGCCAGAAATTTATCCGTTTTATTGGTCTCTGAACCATCTTTTGGTGTCATCGATTTTTTTTTTACTTATAGATTATTTATTTCTAAAATATTTCATTGGTTTTTCAGTTTCCTAGCTTGTTGATGTCAGCTCTGATCTTTATTTTATTTTTCATGGTTATTCTTATATTATTTATTTTTGTTCAAATTGTGTTTATAATTGTTTAAAATTATTTTTCATCAATATGTGGTTTTGTTTTATTTTAAAAAATATTTTAACTTTTATTTTAGGTACAGGGCTACATGTCCAGGTTTGTCATACAGGTAAACTTGTGACTTGGGGGTTTGGTGTACAGATTATTTCCTCACCCAGGTACTAAGCATAGTACCCAGTTTTTTTTTTTTCTGAACGTCTCCCTCCTCCCACCCACCACCCTGAAGTAGGCCCCAGTGTCTGTTGTTCCCCTCTTTCCATCCATGCGTTCTCATAATTTAG